TGTGTAGGAGTGGATTTGAAGTGAGAGCATCTTTTCAGTTAGGAAAACGAGCCAACAGCCCTTGACATATGAGATGAAATACCAGGAATTAGAGCAAGGGTCTAACCTTGGCAGCTTTGGAAACTCACGTAAGTCCAAATAGCCAAGTGGCCAGGCACTAACTGACGTATCTTTCAGTTTCATTGTCTATTGAGGGAAATTAAGCTACACAAGGTAGGGATGCCACACGATATTTTATCAGGCAGAAGCCACTTAAGTGAGAAGCCAAGAATCTGAGCTTAGCGCTCCGCTGCTCTCTGAGACCTGACTGGAACCCCAGGAGAGCATCTCTCTTTCCCCTAAGCTCAGCTCTGTACCTGTAACCACACCCAAACTGGCGTGGTCAGCGGTACAGGTACCTAAGATCTCTCCCTGCAACTCCCCTTTTAGTCTAAAGAAAAGATTTAGACTTAAAACAAAACTAAATTGTGTCAATATACAAAATGTCTTGAATATATATATAGCATATATATATATATAGAAGATGATAAGGATATTTATGCATCAAACATCATGAATAGAAATAAGACTTTACACAGTGTGATGAATTGTGATACACAAATTATAAATCACTAGAAGATATAATAATCTACCTATATCCCATCCTAAGCATATCTATCCCATCTAAACCTAAATTTATCTGAAAGAGATGTCCAAGTATGAATGCCTCCTTCCAATCCCAACCTTGAACTATTGAAAACTAACTCTAAACAGGTGTAAATTATCCTTTATTGCCAACAGTAGGGAAAGTGGGCATAGTATTCTCAGAATTACTTCCTGCTGAAATGGGACGACGGTAACCTCATGGGATCCTGTAGGAAGAAAATGTTTGTGTAGTGAAAGTCTCAAGTAGACTAGACATTTGCATCCAGTCTTCAAAACCTTCCCAGCATTCAGGACAGTCCTCAGGCTTTCTTTCTTCTTTGCCTCTCCAAGAAAGCTCCTTTTGGAGAGAAGACGCCGATGCTGTCAGTGGCTAGCCCTTGAGAGAGTCACATGGGAAGTTATAGCCCAATTCTGGCTCCTTTAGCTGCAGAACAACCCCAGACACGCAGCCTGAATGTCAGGTCCCAAGGCTGGAACTTCTTATGGACACCATGTTCTGCTCTTTGAACCACGTTTTCCTCATCTCTAAAATGGGAACAGTAGATGTATTTGCATATACCCAATGGAAGACTAGTTTCAGCCTTGCTGAGAAACTGTCAATAAATACAATGTGTGGATTTAAAACATCCTTGCCAGGTGACCCTAGTCCATGATTTATTCTAGAAGTTCACTTGCTGGGGTTAATTTGGGGATTAAGGGAAGCAGCATGTGTGAAGGGCCTAAGCAGAGGCCAAGCATATGCTCAATGTTCAGCCTTAAGTCATCAAGAGCCAGGAGCAGAGGCATACACTTGCAATCCTAAATAACCAAGAGGCTGAGGCAGAATCACCATAGATTTGAGGCCAACCTAGGCCTATGACAAGACACTATCTTGGAAAACAAGAGTCACCAGGGAAAGAGAATGACCTCAAGACTGAGGCTAGGAATCTTTGTTCTGGCATGTTATAGAAAATTGCCTCTTAGACACACTTTGAAGGGAAGGGAGAGGACTCAATTGTTTCCACCAAAATGTAACATCCAGATTCCTTCCTGCTCCTTGCCCCAATAAATAGGATGTTCTCAGTCTGCTGCAGAGAGAGCCTACTTTCTGTTCTGGCCCCAGACTTGGGGAGGACTCTCAATTGTGATCAACAAAGGCTGGAGCACTCCCAATGGGGAATAAGTTGCAAATAAGGAGGCAGGAAGATGAGCACATGGGGAAGCCAAACACAGAGAAGGGATGCTGAGCACAGGCAGTTCTATACAACATGCCCACAGCTTCACAGTGGTCCAGGCTGATACTAAGGAGAGCTGGGAGGTGGAATGGGAGCAGCAGATGAGGACAGTGCTGTATTCATAGACCCAGGTCTATGGGGATAGTACCCACTCTTGAGTACAGTTATATATACTGGGGCTGGAAATCATTTTTAAGCAGAGAAAAGCAGGCAAAAGCTGGAATGATGGAGGGCTTCATCAGCCCATATGTTAGCTATTCAGGATTACTCAAGTGGGTCAACAGGTTTTTAAAGTCCTAGCTCCTCTCCAACTTCCTATCTTCCTCCTTTACTCTCAAGGTAGTTGATCTGTATGTTGTTAGCTATACACCCAAACAGAAGGAAAATGGGGCCAAACAGGAAAGAGGAAGGTGCATAGCCCAGTAGTCCTTAGTCATGTAGCCACTTCTAGCTTCAAGGACATGTTAGAGAGAGAGGCCCAGTAAGTGCACTTACGTTGTAGTAAGCTTTAGTAAGATTGACATTGCCCTCCTTGGAACTGCACAATAGCCATGTGTAGTTATTTCAGCTTTTGAAGCAGACACTTGAGATTTTATATATTCATTCCCAGTAATTGGGGAGACTGAGGCAGAAAAATGCTTTGAACCCAGAAGATTAAGAGCAGTATAGTCAACACAGGGTACCCCATCTAAAAGAATCAAATAAATAAATAAATGCCCCATTGGTGTCATATGGCTGGTTGCTACAGCAGGGGGATGTAGCTATAGAATATTTACATTAAGAATTGTGCCTAAGAGTAGACAGGTGTTGAAATGGATTTCAGAAAGACAGCTAATATTCTTGGCAAACACAAGGCTGTGTTTGTTAGTAGCTGGTGAGGGGGCTGAAGGATCTGGTCAGGGACTGGTTCCAGAATAATGGTGGTCCATTGGTGGCAGAAGCACAGCCATAAACCTATCTGCAATAATGCTCAACCTCCAGTCCTTCCATCATCCACGCCTGGGAAGCAGAGGTGAGGTCATCTCATTCCCACGAGTTGTTGACAGACAAGAGTGTTTCCCTGACGTTGGCATGATGGCTCTATTTCAGAGTCGGTTTTCTCTAGGGTGTTCCGTCTAGCCACAAGAAGCTCCTAGAAGTTAAGGGTGGGGATGCAGTCTGCTTCCCGAGAATTCAGCAGCATTATTTGTCTAGGTATTAGGGGATTGTTCCACTAAGTCCCGACAACTTCTGCAGGTTTACCTCTGAGAGCGTATTTCCCATCCCTTCATCTCTTTAGCCTGTTATTCACACTGCATCTTGCTCATGAGTTGTCTAAGACGTTTAGCTGTCCAAAGGCCTGTGACACAGGTTTATTCTGTTTGTTTCTTTCTTCCATTTCTTTAAAGGATTTTCTCATTTCCTCTTTTAGGGTCTCTATCGTCTTCATGAAGCTGTTTTTAAGGTCATTCTCTTCTGCTTTATCTGTGTTTGGATATTCAGGTCTTGCTGGTCTAGTGGCATCATATTGTTTTTTCTGTTCTTGACTGTGTTCTTATATTGTAGCCTTCTTATCCCTTCTTCCAGAAGGTGCAGGTGGGGTCTCTTCTTCCCCTGGTGGGTGCAAGCAGGTCCAATACTCCTATGGGTTTCATGATGGGTGCAGGCAGGTCTGAGATACTCCCTCTCCTGGTGGGTGGATGTTGGGGAAGTCTTATGCCAATAAAGCACTGTCTGGCCAATAGGGAATCTAGACAGGAGGGACTAGGAGTCCAGGAGGATTCTGGGAAGGAGAAACACAAGAGTCGAGATGTAACGCCATTGGGGTAGGAAGCCCGGAAACCTCTCCGGTAAGAAACATACTTAGATTAACAATTATGGGGTAATTGCTTAAAGCAGAGCTAGCCAGGAAGAAACAAGCAAGGCCAACAGCTTCATAATTAATACAGCGTCCTGTGTGTTTATTTGGGGACTACAATGTGGCAGAGCCCAGGCGACTGGCGGGTGATAAACCAAAGCAGCTAGCAAAGAAAAAGCTTCCCTTAACAGGTGGAGGTGGGACTAGAACCGTGATGTCAGCAGATTCTGGATGGCTTGATCCTCCTGGGGTGAGTCAACCTGCCTGCAGTCCCCAGGCCAGGAGAGGGCAAGCGGAAGTGCGGTGACACAGGTTTATTCTGAATGCCTTGGATTTTAACTAGACCTTGAACTTACTGGTTGAACTTTGGAAGCTTTCCTGGGCACAATGCACCAGGAAGTCACACAATTGTTTTTGACTTGTTGAGCTGAAAAGCCTGTCACAAATGTTATGCTTCTTTCGACAGTGGCAGCCTTTGTGGCATCTGTGAATCTGCAGCACCTGCTGGGCGAGCAGGACTGTCCTGATGAATGCTGTGTGTGGTAGCACAGCTCCAAGTTTTCCTCTTCCAGCTCTGGCTGGAATTAATTGCACTTATTGCTTCCCTTCTCATCTGTCTTCACGTCTAGAGCAGCGATAGGAAGTTCTGATCTTCCTTTTGTGGTAGTTATCAGTAATTAAGGACACAAGAGCCATCGTAGCTGTGTCATTGGAGCTGGATTGGGAACCCAGCGAACAGGAACCGCTGCTCTTACACGCTGCCCCTCTAACTCCCTCCCCACAACAGAGGCCCAGTTGGCACCCAGTAAGTAATAAATAATTATGATAAGTAGTCCTGACTTCTGCTTTCCAGAATGGCGCTGGCTCCTGCTAATTTTGTAAAATGGCTTCCTGATGAAGTAGAATGTCCGTGTCACTATCACAGAAATATGGATGGGTCCTCAATGAAATATTAATGATTATCAACTCCCTGGCTTTTCCTTTGTGAGGACCAGAATAAACGAGGAGCTGGCTCTCTGTGATGCATGGAAGTATTATCACCAGCCGTGGTGGTGGGGATTGACCAGTTTCTTCTTTTAAACCTTCCCTGTACCTTCCCTGCCCCCCTCCATCTGCTCTCACTACCGACTCCTGAGACAGAGAATTTTCATTTTCCCATAGTAACTTCAGGCACACATTGCTACTAGAATAGGTCAGAAGCAAGCCTCGTGTCCATGTGGGCCATTTTTTTTTTAACACACGGAGAGAGCTAGTTTTCCAACTAACAGGGGTGATAATAGTGACAACAACAGTGATGTACTTACTTTCTGTGCTTGCGGTGAAGATTCATGGAAAAGGAGGTGGCGTGCCTCCACTGCTGGTGCGAGGGCCTCGGGAAGGGGAGGGTCACGGGAAGGGGAGGGTCACGGGAAGGGGAGGGCCTCGGGAAGAGGAGGGTCACCGGAAAGGGAGGGCCACGGGAAAGCGAGGGCCTCGGGAAGGCGACTGCACATTGCATTTGGCCACGTGCACGCATTCCCAGACCATGGGAATACAAGCACATAACAAATAAATACAATGCTTCACAGTAGAGTTCTCAAAGATCTCAAGAGTGTACCTTTTAAAAACTTGGGTGTGATTGTGGCTTGCCTGCAACCTCTGCTCTTGGTAGACTGAGGCAGGAGGCTTCCTAGTAAGCTGTAGTCCAGCCTGGGCTACAAAGTGAGAGCTCTACTCTGTCCTTTCCTTCTCCCCCAAGCCAAGCCCCAAAAAGTGAATTTTATTATTTTTTAAGGGTTGAGAGCAAGAGGTGAGAGTCAGAAAATCGTAATCCAAACCTGTCCCTGTGCCAAGATAGCCTCTTGGTGCTTGGACTGGAGCTATTGTGCTGTCATCTGGGCAGAAGGAGTGTTGTAGTGAGACCTGGGACCATCCCCTGCTTTCCTGCCTCCTTCTGCTTCCTGATGCCATTTGAGAACAGGACCTGACTAGAAGTTGACTCCCCCACCTTGGAACTTCAGGACCCAGAGGGGAGATGGCTTCACCTTGGCTCCTTGGTGCATCAGGCTCTGACTTCTTTATAATTGCCACCTGTGGCTGCCAGCGCTGCTGTCTGAGAGCTCTGCAGGCCCACCCTCTCTCCAGTCTGTCTGCAGCCTTATCTGGAGAGCCACAGAAAGGCTGAGGCTGGATGGAGCGATAAGCAGGAAGTGCAGCGGAATTTCATTCCTGGAAAAAAAAAACAGGGGACCTTGGCATGAGTAGCAGAGCAAGGGCTTCGGATGTTAATCACGGCTCCTTTTATCAGACAGCTTTATTAAGATCAATGTTTTTTGTTGCCAAATTAGAGTGGACCTAGAGCGAACTTCCCAGCAGTTATTAACACAAGCCCACATTTGCTGGAAGGATCGGGTACCTCCACGTGCTCGGCCGTAGCTGGAAGTTACACAATATCTATATCATTTTTCACAGCTTTGTCATTAGCTGGTAATGATTTGATTATTTTGCAGATGAATCACGGTATAAATCTCTTTCACAAACACTACCTCCAAGTATTAATCAAAACCATTAAGGCAGAGCAGTCGGTGCAAATTAAAAAATTTGCATGTCTAAATTAAAAATTACAGTAATACATCATAAATAAATCTTTTAAATTCTCCATGGCCTCTATGCACATCCTTTCTTTGGTGTGTGTCCTATAACGGGGCCGTGAGAGCACAGGCTTTTCTGTGTCTGCCGCTGGGTTACATGCTTACTGGGCAGCCCCTGGGTTTACAGTGGGTTTGCGGCTTTAGATGACCCCTGGTGCTGGGACAGCAGAGAGAAGGGACACATTTTCTTCCTTTTCCTCCATGCAGTTCTCTTTTTTTTTTTCTGAACTGAAGATTCAAAGGAAGCACACAGAGGAGAGAACAGACGATTATTCGCCGCGTCTTCTCTTGTTGCAAAGTAAATATTTGCGTAAGGTGATGCGTCTTTTTCAAATAACTTTGAACTGTGAGGAAAATTACCAAGTTGTGTTTTAGGTAATATTTCATTTTGGAGCTATTAACACATTACTTGCAATATGGGAGGAAATTAGAGGGTTTTGAGTGATGAAAGCCACCTTTGGCATTAAAAAACTATTATTATTCCCTTGAAACGTTGAAGCAAATTAAAACAGGAAAATGAAACTTTCAAGTGCCCTGGATTTGAAAAGGCATTTTCCCCCCTTTCATTTGTCAAGAAAAAAAAAAAAAAAAAGAAGAATGAAATGACTTGTTTCATGGGAACCCTGGAAGAAATCATTTATAAGGGAGAAAAGTACTCTTTTCAAAATGCCTTTGCCAGAGTGTTTGGGGGCATGAAGCCGCCCTGGGCTCCTCTGGTGTTCCCAGAGTAAACTGGCCTTGGAGGGCAGAATACGGACCGGTGTGTGCGGGCTCAGCTGAGCCTCCGGTAATGGGACGCAGCAGCAATTAGAAAGCATGCTCTCTCTGCCCAGGATTCAACCCAGTTAACCTATCAGTAACCTATTAACCTAATTAAATAGAAAAGCCGTTCCATGGCGAAGTGCAGGACTTGACCTGTTTGTGGGTAGGAGGACATGTTGCAGGGAGTATTAGACCGTGGAGCGAGACATTTTTGACATATAACTTCGGCGTCTGGACACAGTTCTAAGTGGTGTTTCCTTGACAGCAGCTGGTGGAATTAGCTAGCAGGTTAGTCATCAGCGTAGAGCTGCTCCTCTGCCTTGTAGAATTTTACCTTAGACTATTTCTGGCAGTCTCAGGGAGTCCTTCTGCCGAAGATAGCTCTCCACCTGCCCGTGACTTCTAACAAGCTCCTAAGCTAAAAAGCTTTAGGTCAAGCCTATGCAGTCACTTGAACTTAGTAACCGGACACACAGCACCACACCCAAGTGTTGAATAAAAGCTCTTCTCCGGCTGGCTGTGTGAACTCCATGAACTGGTTCATGACTGTGGCTCTCAGTTTGCTCATCTGTGTAAAACGAGTGGGCTGGACGAGATGAGATCAGAGGGTTTTATTTCCCAGCTATTGATGCTTGTGAGTTTTTAAAAAATATTGCTACTTCTTTCTAATTTATCTCCTCTCTCTCTCTCTCTCTCTCTCTCTCTCTCTCTCTCTCTCTCTCTCTCTCTCTCTCTCTCTGTCTCTGTCTTTCTCTGTCTCTGTCTGTCTGTCTGTCTGCTTGTCTGTCTGTCTCTCTCTCCCCTTCACCAAAATCAAATGATTCTTGAATGACCTTGGCTAGAACTGTGTCATCTAATACAGTGGCCACGTATCTACTTACATTGCAATGACCTAAGATGACATTCACTGAAACATTTTCAGCTCTTTAATCCCCAGTCAAGCACTAAGTGCTCAGTGGTCACGCATGGTGTGTGGCTATGGGCTGACCAGCCCAGACCCACACCATCTCCATTACTGGAGATGATCTATGTGCACAATACACCTGCAGTTCAGCTGTGGCATAGTCTGTTCATGTTTGATGCGGACGATGACAAGGGAAGGCAAAGTCACCACTTTAACTGGGAAACACCGAGCAGCACCCACAGTGTTTAACTAGGCCCCAACTTGCTTCCTCACTGCAGAGTCATTGCGGACCGAGATGAGCCCTCCAAGTTCCACTGTCCTCCTCTGTGTAATTGGAGATGCTCCCTGCACCTATGTGGAGCCGTGTAAAACAGCTGCCATGTGCTAAGCTACAGAAGACACCTAAAGGATGCTATCGTACTATTCAGTTAAAAGTCCATGTTTGTATGTGGGGTAAGTGTGTGTGTGATGTATATGCATTTATGAATATGGATTATGAATACCTTGTGGTACACATGCATATGTATGTAAGGATGTCTTCCTCAATTATGCTCCACTGTGTTTTTTGAGACAGGATCTCTCACTGAACTTGGAGCTCACTGATTATGTAGGCTGGCTGGCCAGCAAGCCTCAGATACAGTACTGTCTTTTCTAGGTGTTGGCTTCTTCACACACTTTTTACCAAGGAAGTTATTTCTTCATCCCTACAGGAATTTTATGTGTTAAAAAATATTGGGCTGAGAATGAGAGTCATAGAAAAATATGATCACATGTATTTTGCTTCTAATGAAAACACTAGTTTAAAAAACGCTACTGTCAGGGAAGTTACAGAGCGGGCAGCTGAGAAGGCCACACCCCCTTGATGCTGCTTCTTGGCTGTGTGGCCTCCCCCATTTCCCACCCAGTATGCGGGGTCCCAAGTCTGTTTCCCTTACCTTGCCTTTATACCTAACATAACTGAGCACAGAGGCACCTAGTTCTGCTGGTGGCCCCACCTTGGTTGCCTGCTGCTAAGTTTGCCTCTCAGTCAACAAATTCTCGAAGGTGCTCCCAGGGTTGACAGATAGGATTTCTGCTTACCAGTTCTAAGTTCACTCTGCTCTGCTCACCCTGTCTGGAGGGCATCAAAGAATGGATATTTGTTGTCATGAAAAACTGTGGCTTCTTGTGCTTCAGGGACATCCTGAATGTTAGGGACATCCGTAGACATCTACTGTTTATTAGGGGTCAAGAAGGGAGAAGGATTTTTTTTAAAAGCACGCTAGTATTCATCACTGGTACTCTCTTGAGTTTCCATAAAGCCTTACTTCTTTTGTTTCTTACTATAAAGTGTCTTTGTAATGTCCATATTGAGGTAATTATTTAGATGAGTGGATGGCTACAACACTAAAATGTTTTGGGAAGGAGGAAATTTTTGTTTCAAAGCTCCCATTGTTAGTGGGTGGGGCATGATTTTGACTCGGTAGCATCTTTTAGCCTGGGCGTCCTGGCTTGTTTTCTTCACACACAACTGTCTCTACCTTTTATAATATTTATTACAATGATCTTACTATGCAGATAACCTCTGTTGACATTTAAAAATTTTATGAGCATATTTAGAAAATTCAAACAATGCAGAAAGGTACAAAATAGAAAAATATCTCTCCTGCAACTCCTGACTTCACTGAATCCTTCCAACAAAGACAAGGCCACTAAGGTTACCTGGTTTGATTTTCAGAGAAACATGTGTGATGTCTTTAAGTGACCTTCCTCTCAGTAATGAGAGACTGAATGCTTGACTTTCTGCAGCTGAACACACAGTTTCTTGGCTTTTACTAGATGGCTGTGCAGTATTTCACCACAGGGTTACTCTGTAGCACACTCAAGACATTCAATTCTTCCACACTTGATAGACATTTAGGTGGTTTCCAGGTGTTTGTTGTTTGTTTTTGTTTTTGCCATGACTAAGTATGATTTGTTTTATCGTTCTTTTGCAACATATCTGTCAAATCAATTTTTTTAGCACTGTGCATTTTTACTTTAGTATGTATTGCTTAACAGCCATGAGAAAACTTTGAACTTGCTAGTTCATTTTTCATTGGTGCAAGAGGCTTCTGCTTGCTGCAGGCTTCAGATACAATCACTGTAACGTTTCCCTGACAATTCAGTGGGAAATGGTTTCTTCTGACTTGTTTTCAGGCCTTTAATTGTGAGTAAGACAGAACATATTTTGTATTTTTATCTCCTCTCACCATCTGAGACCCCGCCCTACCCCTTACACTGCCTATGCCATTATTTGTTACTAATTTGTCAGAAGTTCTTCTTTCTCTTCTCTGTTAGAGCATTTTCTAAATTCTGTGTTTTTCAGACACAGTGTTCCTAATTGTTGGGCTCCTAACTGGTTAGGAACTATCTCCTCTATTCTCAGGGTTCTCCATTCATATAGTCATCCCTAAGCGTTTCCTTTGGACATTTTGTATTTGTGGTCCTCTGGAAGCAGAAGGGAATGATGTGGAAGCATGTTATCCCAAAGCAATTAGGAAGAGTGTTTCTTTCACTTTCAGCTGTAGTTGCTTTACTGAGCAATGGCCAGGAGTCCTTCTCACACCATCACAAAGCTGCCTCCTTGTCTTTTGTCTTCTTGAAATAGCAGGGCTTTGGCAGGAAGTTTCAAAAGTGCTTTCTGGGACAAACAAAACTATGGAAGGAAACCCATTGATATGGGCATTCATTTATTTGTGCAACAGGATTCTCTGACATATACCAAGCCTGTTCTTGGCAATAAGAGCAACTCAAGGACAAACTTATAATCTAATAAGAAAGGGCTGGGAGCCACTGCACTGAAAAAGAATTTATCTGCATCGAGAGTCTCAGCTCCATCCACTTCCATGACACTGAAATGCAAATGACGCTCCTGTATGGGAACCCCAAAGGAGAAGCCCTCCCGAAGTATGCAGTCCTGGAAGTGAAGGACTCCCCAGGTTGTGAAGACCACACCCACAACTTTTTGTTTTCATGCAATCTTTTAAATAGCAATCAGCTCTCCCTCAGAGGATCCGGTAAAAGAGCAAATGGGGAATCACCATTTGGTTCTTAAGTACAGAGAAATACAAAAGTACCTGACTGCATGATGACCAGGTTCTTGTTAGACATGAGTCTTTCTTGTAGATTGTTTTAAAGGAAGATGCCCTCTTCTGTCAGGTCTATTGTGTAGACACCAGTACTCTTACCTTCCATTTTCACTCTGTCCCCAATATCCAGAGCAAATGATGATCTTTGTAGAAAATCAGGAAGAAGTACTGAAAAGTATGAGTGGATAAAAGTAAGTTTACTTTTGGATCTTCCTGTAAACAACTGATGACTATAGAATACTCTTCTGTTATGAACTAGTGCCACTTTTTTATTAAATATGTGCCTTCTTATTTTGTGGTTCATTTTTCTTTCAAACATAAAGAAAAATGGGACAAATATGCCCAAAAGCCCATTAGGAGAAATCTCTCTCTAGAAGAGAAGCTACAAGGCAAAGCCCATCAGAAGAAATCTCTAGAAGAGCAGCTGCAAGGTAAAGCCCATCAGGAGAAATCTCTAGAAGAGCAGCTGCAAGGTAAAGCCCATCAGGAGAAATCTCTAGAAGAGCAACTACAAGGTGAAGCCCATCAGGAGAAATCTCTAGAAGAGCAGCTGCAAGGTAAAGCCCATCAGGAGAAATCTCTAGAAGGGCAGCTTCAAGGTGAAGCCCACAAACTTTAACTACTTAGCACCGCAGTGCTGTCCTTTGCTGTTTGCCTGACTCTGCAGTCAGATGGCACTGAGGATGAGGAAGTGACGGAGTCAAACCCATTTAGTGCCAAAGCAGAGCCCCCGTGACAAGAGAGAGACTAGCTTTCAGCATCAACCGTCTGTCCATGTGAAAGGGAGCTTCATCCTCCTCCACGTTGTAAACTGCCCTCCTGTAGTCCAGACCAGAAATCTTCTAACTGAGCTTCCCACTTATTGTTTGTGCAGTGTGTGGTTAATGCCTGTGTGCCTGCCTGGGGCTCTGGGTCAGCAAGGTTAAAGTCGTCTGAGTTTATCTTTCCAAGTTCCGTTTGAGAATTCCCATTTGCTGTCTCTGTGGTTTGCCTTCCATTTACTTTCTACTTTCCCCAACTCCCTGGAGGGGAACTTGGCCACATCCTCTGTACTATTCTGAGAAGCAAGAAGATCCAACAACAATTGTAGCCACTGTCCATGGTGTGGCATGGTAAGCATATTTGGAGTTTCTAAGGGTGAGCAGGGTTTAGCAAGTAAGAGATTTGTATTTCACTGGGAACAAATGGCTGAGTCACAGGGATGAAAACCTGTTTAGCAAGGCTCAAGAAGGGACAGATTACTTCTGACAGGTCTAAACAGCCCAGGCAGATAGGATCATTTAAGTATATTTAACAAACACTGACAATGGAATGCTTGATTAATGTCTCCCACCCAGATACCCAGGGACTGGCAGGTCACCTTCTCAAACCAGTAGGCAGTTGAAGAATTCTCCTTTATTATGCATGACTGTGACATGCTTCAGATGTTCTGCTGAGGAGGACATGCTCCATCAAGGCCTCAGTCACATTTCCCCTGATTTTTCTGCAGTGTGCTTGGAGGCTCTAGGATTACATACATACATACATACATACATACATACATACATACATACATGCCCCAATTACACTGACTAGTTTAAGACAAAATGAATAAAAACCAAAACTTCCTCTCCCTGAAAACTTGACAAGGGTCAAAAGTTTTTGGGATTTTAAATTTTGGTGAGTGGCCAGGCACCAAACAGCAGAGACCCTGCTGAGTCCTTGGCATGGTGCATTTGTTTGTGTCTCTTGTTGCTTGGTCTCTCGTTGGTGACTTTTCTTTGTTGCTGTGACCAAATACCCCAATCAAAGAAGCTTAAGAAATGAGGGTTTATTTTAGCTCATGGTTCAAGATACAGATCATCATGGTGGGGGAGTCAGAGCAGGGAAAGGCCCAAAGCAGCTGCACACACGACACCACAGTCAGGAAGAGGAGAGTGAGGAGCTCGCTCTCTTCATTGTCTCCCAGCCAGGGTCCTAGCCTAGGCAATCGTCACACCCAAAATGGGTGATGGGTCAACATAATCTACCACAGACATGTCCAGGGCCCCATTTACCAGGTGATTCTAGATTAGACAATTAAAACTATCATGTCCCTTTTGAATCAAAGTGAATTTTGAAGCCTTAGTCCTAAAATCCAGAGGCCAATTTGTCATCTAGTGGTGACAGCTCTGGTAGTCAGATTCATGATTCTGTCTCCTGCTACTGATGATGTTGTTCAAACATTTGAGCAAGGAGCTGGAGACAGTCAAGTTCACAGATCCCACTGGCTCTGTGGGTTAAACTCCAAGTGCTCATCTTTTTATGAGTGCCTTGCTTCTTGGTAGTTTCTGAGATTACAACAAATTCAGGATTCTGCTCTTCCAAAGAGATTATGACCAAATTGAATTGATATTTTACGTGAACTCTCTCTACTCTCTACCAGCAATGACATTGCTCTTTTGTATATGGCTGTGCCTGTCACATTGACGGTCCTCAGTAGACACTTAAAGGAGGGTACCTATAACTGGTTATGTGGTGCCAAGAGATCGCAGTCAGAGCTACCGACTTTATGGAGCTTGTTGGGAATATGACCTAATTGTCAGAAAAGTTTATGGTAGACAACAGACGAAGACACAGGCATGAGTGCCAGACTTGAAAAATAAAATGGGGGAGGAAAGACAGGAAGCTATGGGCAAAACACTCACTCATTGAATCTCCATTAAAGTCCTCAATTTCTTTCTGACCTTTCTCCCTACCCACCAGGCTTAGTACTGCACAATTTTGCATGGCTGCTAGAACAATTGACCACAGACTTAGCGTCTTAAAATAACAGATAAAGTCATTATTTCACAGTTCTGTAGGTACAACTCTCATGTGGACTACAACCCAATGTTACTTGTTTGTTTTCCTTTCTGGTATGTATGGGAAAGTTTCCACAGTAATTTATACCCATTCTTGACTTGTGAGCCTCCCCAGAATCGTCAAAGCCAGGAGTGGCAAGTCTAATCTTCCTTGCATACTATCAGGGTATCCCTCTGGTTCCTCTCCCAGCTTCAAGCACCCCTCCGATTGGCCCACTTAGATAATTTTGGGTTATCCTCCCATTTCCAGTCTTTAACTCAAGCTCTGGAGGTTAGGACATGGGAGTGTGTGTATGTGCGTGTGTGTGTGTGTGTGTGTGTGTGTGTGTGTGTGTGTGTGTGTGTGAGAGAGAGAGAGAGACAGACAGACAGACAGACAGACACAGAGACACAGAGACACAGAGAGACAGGGACAGAGACATAGAGAGAGACAGAGACAGAGAGAGACAGAGATAGAGAGCTAGTCAGTTTATCACTGGAAACCTTCAGTATCTACTTTTATAACACTCTAAGCTTCGTAGTATTGCTGATAACATTTGACAAAACTCTTTGATTGTGTATGCAATCACTCTCTGTCCCATTCCCCATAAAGCTTGCCCATGCCTTTTAGCTTGCCCTTAAATTCTCAATGCCTGGCACGGTCCTTGGTTTATAGTGTCTGGCAAATTTTTGGTGGATGAATTCACTTAGGACTTCATTTGTTCCCTACATAGGGATTTTTAGATGAGCATTTAGCAGTTTTAATCAGACACTGGTTCCCTGCTGCTGCTATTTCTACACATTAGAAAAGCCAGTGATTGTTAAAAAAAAGTTTCTTCTTAAGTCTCTGTTCCTTCATGCCAATTTGAGATACCTGTCTATCTTGGACTGGTGTGCTTAGCCATCAGGACCACCCATGGCAGGATTCCTTCACAAATCTCATCCTAGTGCTTAGCCTCCAGGAGATAACAGGTAGCATTTGCTGAGTACTTGGTGACTGGAGGAAGGTGGTGTGACTTAGTGACTAAGGGGTTTGTATTATGAGAGGATATTAGAGGCTGTGATGTTGTCCTCTACCTTATTCCACAAAGTAACTGGTAGAGTCAGAGATGTGCTAAGAACTTACAACACCTAGGATCAACAGTTAGTTATAAACACAATACTTCTTGCTGCCATATATAAGCAGTGTCACTGGCTACCAGTCTCGCTGGATAATTGGAAAAAGGCGTCACACCGGAGGGACAAGAAAAGGGAGGAGAATTAGTGTTTTTGCCTTGTATTCTTGGAATTACCATGGACTGATTGCAGAACCTAGAGCCATTATTCATTTACCATAAATTTAACTACTTGCATTTATGAAATAGATATGTCTTTTGAGGTTTGAAATAAATACTTCATGTGGAAAGTACCTAACAAAATACCTGATTTCATAGATGTTATTTCTCTTTATCCTTCCCCTGTCTCACAAAAGGTTTCAAAGAGTTAAGTATTTTTCTTTGTAAACATGTTTTCAAAGCACGACTGTTATTCTCTTCTATAGTTTTCTGTGTTAACATAATAAAAAGCAGCCAATGATAAGTGGGAATTCTGTTTCCTCCCAAGTCACTAGCCATATAGGTAATAAAATGACTGAGAAAGTGGAAAGGCCCTGGGGTCATACACCTTACCCCCCAGAGCACATGTGGCCAGGGGGACCAGGAACACTGGTGGATGAATTGACACTAGAGGATAAATGTCACAAACCTCACTGTCTTAGAGGAAGTGTCCCATGACTTGGCAGCCCTTTGTCCAGGAAGGACACACGGAATTTTATTTAGGAACTGCCCCATGCCCAGTAGGATTTTGATGTGTTTATTGACGTGGTTGCCTGTATAAATCAGAGTTTGATAAGGTTTTGGGGCCTGTAAATGAGCTTTTCGACTACTGTCCTGAATAGGGGAACACATGCTTATGGCAGCAAATAAGTTCCTGGGGGAAAAATTGCTCATGTGATGAGGTGCACAGCCATGAGAGTTAGTGAGCCCACTGTCTGCATGTGTGAAGGAGGGGCAGTGAATGAGCTCAAAGAGCCATCAAAACAGGAACAGCCTTAAAATGTTTTGAAAAAAAAAACACATTAATGCCAGAAATAGAGTAAAATGACCCATTAGGAGGGCACGCTGGAACTCAGCTGAACTTGTTTAACTTTAAAGCAAGTAAGTGCTAGTTTGGTTTGAACGATACGTGGCGGTGATAAAGGGGAGCATGTGCCCTCACGAGTCTCTTTGTGGATTAGAACATCTAAACTGATGAGCCTGTCCTTTCCTATGTGTCCTGTTCCGCAGCAGCATTGCATCACGGGACCCCAAGCCGCCTGACTGCTGCTTCTCCCAGGTGCCCCCCACTGCCTTCCTCCTGCCCAGCCACAGCACAGAGCTTCAGCTCACTCATGCACGAGCCACAGTGTGGAGCTTCCTTCTTGAACTGCGGTGGCTTCCATGCTTGTCAGGCTCGAGGAACTAAGCAGCGCCACAGCTCTGCAGGGCTGCCCCGTGCGCGCTGTTCCATTTGGGCCTCTTCTCAGGCTGACAGTCACCTGCCATTCCCCCCCTTTGATCCACGAGTGCTCAAGTTTCTGAGCTATTCCCCCTTCATGACGGATTTTGCTGGGCCCCTGCCTGTCTGCTCCTGCCTGAAATCTGACTAGATCTCAGGAATTCTGCCAGAGCCCGGGAGTTATCTGGATGTCTGGGATTCCCCCTCTTTGGTAGTTTCATTTTGAGTGGAATATAAGGCTAGAAAGACAATTTACAGAAAGTGTGTCTTAAAAAGAAGTGAAGAATGTTGAATTATAAATCAGGGATGATCCTTCTAACCACAAAATACGCAATTATTTGAAAAAAATTTAAATCATATTTATGCATCTATTTATTTGTGTGTGTGTGTGTTTATAAGTATGTATGGAGGTCAAAGAACAGTTTTCTTCTTTAAATGGAAAGCCATTCATGTCTATTTGTATTAGATAGGTTAATAATGCCTAAATGACAAAGAAATGTGCTGGGTGAAAGTGGCACAGGGACATTGGAGGGGACTGCTATGGCTTCATATGTATCCATATTCGAAGCTGCAGAGGACAGCTTGTTAGAGTGGGCTCTGCCTTTCCTCCATATGGATCCCTGGGATCCAGCTCAGGCTGTCAAATTCGGTGACAAACACATTTACCTACGTAACTATCTCATCTATTCTCAGATAAGAAGCTAACACCTTTTACTAACTCCATGTGAGGGCAATAGAACAGTACAAGTCTGTGCGTGTGAACTTTACATAGGCACGCAAGCAAATGGATACCTTATCAATTGAGGTTACACATATTAATACCTGTTTCTCATTTTCCCAAATAATCACTTATGCATTCATAGGCCCAGTTGCATATGTTTGTGTATGTGTGATATACACGTAGACTAAGTACATATTTATATACTACACATATGTATAAACATGGGTATGTGTGTGTGTGTGTGTGTGTGTGTGTGTGTGCATATGGGTATAAATGCATACATGCCTCTATGGTGGGAAGGAGGGAAATGGAAAAAGGGCAGGAGATGGGAAAGTGAAGAGTTATTAACGTTATAGTTTTAGGTAAAATTTGTTTATCTTATCCTTTCATATTTTTAGGGAATTCATATTATTAAGGATAATCTCTTTTAGTTAAAGCCAATTGAAAGTGATTGTTAGTCACATCTATAAAATGCTTTGGTAGCAAACTATATACTATTTGTTTCCCCAGTTGGGGTGTCATAATCTCACCAACTGGATACATAATCACACCAGATTAGACTACCAAGCAATGGCTAATTCTGGTCAAGTGTACTTTCAAACTGCCCTGATTTTCTTGGGTTTACACTCTTGACTAAGTCTTTGGGCTTCCTTCCATGATTTTTCTTGGGTTTACACTCTTGACTTAGATCATTGGGCTTCCTTCCATGATTTTCTTGGGTTTACACTCTTGACTAAGATCATTGGGCTTCCTTCCATGATTTTCTTGGGTTTACACTCTTCACTAAGATCATTGGGCTTCCTTCCATGATTTTCTTGGGTTTACACTCTTCACTAAGATCATTGGGCTTCCTTCCATGATTTTCTTGGGTTTACACTCTTGCCTAAATCACTGGGAACAGGGAAGGGGACTGCTGGATTACTCTCCAGTGACTCTCATACACAGCTGTCACTGTAGCAGCTGTGTGGTCAGCTGTTAGTGACCCTTTCTTTCATCACCCACGTCTGTGAAGAAGTCAGCCATTGCTCAAACTTTAAAGTTCTTCTCGGCTTGCATATGAGAGCCACAGTCATATATGGAATTATAAATCCAAACTAATTGCCTATATGCCTAATGAAACTTAAGCTCTAGACAGATCCTGAATGAAACTTTATGAGATAATGACTCCAAGATGTTGTATTTGCCCTCAGCCCAGCATCTTGTTTCCATGGGTTTCCCTTCTGTATACCTTAGTGATTTCTAAGGTAATCATTTGTGTTCCTAGAATATCTAGTCTTCACAGGGATTATTCCTTTCATAAAGCCTTTTCATCCTTTAGTTCATAGGTTCATTGTTCCAGTCTCTCCCTGCTTATGGAGGGACAGCTGTACAAGGAATCTTTCATACCAGGCAAGAAGGACTCAAAAACTTGAGTCACTGACAAAGACCTCACTCATATTTAGGAAAGCATCAAACATCTGCTTCTGGCTAGTGTCTAGGGCAAATGTGTATGGCAGCTTCTTCTCTGAAGGATTAAATATCATTGCACCAGGAGCTTTGCCACATGGAGACATGCATGTAACGCGATGTATGCTCTTGATCTGCCTCTGTTCTGATGCTGACTTGGTCTCACTGTGACATTTACTGCTCTAAGTCTGGATGAGAAATTGTGTATAAATAATACATATAAGGACTTCTTACTCCTAAACAGCCCCAGAAAACCTATAAACCTCATCCCCACCCCCAGCTAATAATGGAGTCTCTTCCCTTGACAGATTGCTCTTTGTATGACATTGTTTTGAAGTCTGCTGAATCCTTATGGAAGAGCCATGCCATTTCTAGCTTAGGTGGTTTGTCCTGTTGTCCTTGACTAAATTTTCTTTGTAGCCTAGTTAAAACCTGGACACCTGGGAGCTTAAATTATCCCTGTAGGATATTAGTATATTAGCTACCTATAAAAATGAAATTTATATGAGGCATCTGTTTACATTGAGCATTCCATACAAGGCAGCAGAGAATTCAAAGGAAAGGCTCTCACATGAAGCTTGCATAGCCGAGAGCAAAGGCTTGGAGAGTGGCATGCAGACAGCTAATTCCCATTGTAGATACTAAAAAGAATTTTTAATAGACAAAGCATCTCCCCCTCCCCACAATGGCAGTCTAGGTTATACAAAAGGCTTCAAGAAGCCGTCAGTGTTTACAGTAGACATCTTGGTGTTATTTATCTTTTCGTTGTCACTGTGTTCAGGAGAAAATAAAGAAGCAGTCTTGTTAACATTAGTCTGTTACTTGGGGAGCAGGAGGAAGACAGTTGCGAGTGCACCTAATAGTGACAGATTGCCTCAGTCAGCATGTGGGCAGAGGAGAAGCTGGAGTCAATACATGGCATGAACACTTCCTTCCTTACTCATTTCTGCCTTCTCTCTGTCCAACCCCTTCTTCTCTCCATTTCTTCTTTTCACGTGTATCGATGTGTAGTTGTGTATGCAAATGGATGTATAGTTACATTTGCACATGTGTGTAGAGGCTTCAAACTGACATTTAGAATCTTCTTGATTGTTCTTTATCTTGATCTTTGATGCAGTTTCTGAGTCAAACCCAGAGATTACTGACATGGTTAGTCTCACTAACAGGCTTGCCTCAAGACTCCTGAGGCTGAAACTATTGTTGGGTCACTATGCCCACTACTCAGAATTTACATAAGTTCTGGAGATCTGAACTCCACTCTTTTTGCTTGCTCAGTCATGCAAAAAGTGATGTAATTACTGAACTACATCTCAGGCTGGCCTTGCACTTGCTATTCTTCTGCCTCAGCTTCCTGAGAGGTAGGGTCACAAGTTTGCTCCATCGTATCACTTAAGAAGTCTGGAGCACCAACTGGATTTTGGAAGCAAACACTCTATTTGCAAATGCATAGGGAATAGATGCCCTCAACGTAAGCAAAAGGAAAAGAGAAGGCCAGGGAATTTTCAAATATACAAGTCAAGGTACAACATACAAGGGCCAGAGAAACCTAATGGTTATACAGAAAATATTAAACAGTAAGTACAACACAGGTACTGATCTGTGGTGTACATACCCATGTGACCCACTGACCCTGCCTCTGCCAATGTCTTAAAGATTTCTAGAGCAAAGAGCCTCCTGGCAAGACTTTCACCTCACTTGATGTGCAGAAAGACTGGATCTGCACAGCTGACATTGTTCCACCACACCTAGGTGCAATAGTGGAGTGATAGTTTCCAAGGGAAGATTGTATTAATGCCAGAAGATGGATACAATGTGAGCATCCACCAATGTGCTAATTGCCCCAGAATCACTTAGCCTCTCCAATTCAGAAGGATCAACAGAGTGAACCCTTGACTTCATCACACATTTTCCTCCTCCTAGTCTTTTGACCTCCCCCTCCCACAGTTTCACTGTAGCGTGAATTAAGCAGATCTGAAGAGTGTGGAATGTATTGTGCTAAGATATAAACATCTCTGTGATTTTGTTTCTCTGAACAATGTTTTGTTGTGTTAAGAAGAGATTGAGCCACTTTAGGGAGCCCCAGTGTCCCTTTGGTTCAAATATAGTTCCAAGATGACTCAAGGGGAAAATGGTGATTCTCCATGAAATATTATGGGTGTGTGGAACAGAGGGAGATTCTAAACCAGGAATCTTCACATGGACCACAGGTACTCCGGTGTTGGGAAGGACAGACACACACAGATTTGTGAGAGTCATAAATTGCTGAGTGTGAGAATGTTGTCATCATATTGAATATTGATAAGAAAAGTTGCCACACAGCAAGCCTTTGTTACAGTTTTGACACACACAGTCCAAGCCTGAATGACATGTAATTTCTCTTTTTATATTCTATCACACAGGACATTAGCTGTGTATGTGTTGATTATTTTTGCATGAGGTCTCCTCGATAGTGCAGATTCTGCTCTGACAACTCAAAACATCATCCTGGTAGAGAGAGTTGGTGTTTTGAGAGAGTTATTGTTTTACTAAATGGCATACACAAGGGTTGCTTGCTTCAAAACTGTTTCCATTTATCTGAATGTAGTGCCATATATCTTTAATCTTAGCACCTGGTGTGAAGGGGATGGGGCTGGTTCTCATGAGTTTGAGGCCAGCCTGGGCTACCCAGGAAGACTCTACCACAAAACAAAGCAGAGAACTAAATAAGTCTTCATTTCATTCCACTTTCTGTAGCCGTTACTATCCCATTGCTTTTTCACTATTTGCAGCAAACCTTCCTGGGACAAATAGCTGTTCTCATTGTCTTAAAATGTCTGGTCCTGTTATTTCCTAAGCTCCACACAACAAAGCTTCCTCTACCACCATTGCCACTCCATCAAAATTCCTGCCACCAGCCATTATCTTCATATTTCCTAGCTGTGTCTAAGTCCTGACAGGTCGCTGGTAGGGTGTCGTCACTGTTCACCACCTCCTCTAACATGGCCTCTCTGAGGCGATGCTACTCTGCTTTCTTGGCCTTTCTCTCACTCCACTGCTCCTGTTAACTTTGTCTAAGCTCAAACACTGATGGTTCCTAAACTGAGACACTCGACTCCGATGCCTCCTTGGAAATCTAAGATCATAAGTCCAGCTGCTCACTCACTGACCTGTTTG